CTGCTCTCTTTCTTTCTTATTTTGTTGCAATTTCTAGTGGTCAGTAAACGTTTATTGCATGAATGTCTGATGGTTGGAAGAAATATTGCACTCCATAATGCCTTAGCTAATATTTACTTTAGTGTTTAATTTAAACAAAATATTGCTGAGAATTCAATAGAATCTGTGTAAGTAAATTTACTTCTTAATTACATGGAGTAATCTTATAAATAAATGTGATTGTCAGTTTGAGTTTTATATTCTTCATTTTTTTAGTTTCTTTTATGAATTCAGCTGAGTTTTCGTTTATATTATATTATCTCAACATTCTTTAGTCTAATACAAATACCGAGAAGCTTGTTTTTCTTTTTTTTAATTTAATTTTTGGGACCACACATAGTTGATATAAATTTTAAGCACTGTAAAAAATTGAGGTTGAAAGTTTCTTTTTGCTAACCAAATAAAAATATTAACATACACCGGGTGGAATTTAACTCAGTCCCTGAAACATAAAATAAGAATAATAACAGTCCTTTCATTACAAGTTTGCATTGAATTTTATGATAATGTTTTTATAGCATCTACTAGGAGCTGGCATATAGTACATATTCCCAAATGGGAGGTATTAGTTTTATAGCATTTATAGCAAAACAGAAAAATAAGTTTAAAAAAAGGGATAGCAAAATATTGGTTTGAAAAAAGCCCTCTGAGTACAGCAGAAAGTCAGGCATGGAAAGAGAAGGAGAGAGAGAAAGAAGAGAGAGAGAATGAACCCAGAAAGAATACTCAAAACTGCAGAAAGCACTGAGGTGCTATAGGAGGAATATGGGGAGTATAAACTCAAAAGCATTGAGATAAAACCAAACCAACAAACAAGTCCAACAGGGCATGTTAAAGAGTTTGGACTTCAACCTAAATGCAGTGAGAAGTCACAGGAGGGTTTTTAAGTAGAAGAGTGCATAAGCACATATAAGTTTTTAAAAGATGAATTGGAAATTTATGTAGAAAATTAAAAGAGGAGAGGCAAGAGAAAATGCTAGGTGAAAATTTAAGATGCTCTTGCAATGACCCAAAAGAAGGCAGCATTTATAGGTAAGGTAGCAAGAGGGCATAGACAGGTTTGGTCTATGTTAGAGATAGAGTGGAGAGAAATGGATGGAAAGAGCAAGAGTTGAGAGAAAGAGCAGAACAGGCATCATTCCAAGGGTTTGGGGTTTAGTTACTAGTTGGGCAGTGATGTCCTTTTCTTTCTTTTTTTTTTTTTAAATTTATTTGACAGATGAAGTTAGACAGTGAAAGACAGAGACAGAGAGAAAGGTCTTCCTTCTGTTGGTTCACTCCTCAAATGGCCACTACGGCTGGAACTATGCCAATCTGAAGCCAGGAGCCAGGTGTTTTCTCCTGGTCTCCCACGCGGGTGCAGGGACCCAAGCACTTGGGTCGTGCTCCACTGCACTCCCGGGCCACAGTAGAGAGCTGGACTGGAAGAGGAGCAACTGGAACTAGAACCTGGCGTCCATATGGGATGCCGGCACCGCAGGTGGAGGATTAACCAAGTGAGCCACGGCGCCGGCCCTAGTTTTGATATCCTTTTCTAATAAAGGAGTAAATTTGATAATAGGTACCCGATATTGATATTGTTGTATGTGTTGAACAAATAAAATAACTGCTTTTAGATTAAATCCTATTTATCTTTTATTTCATGCCACAAAAATGTTTCTTCAACTTCTGGCCTGCCATCTTGAAATCAACCAAAGACTACCAGGAGATTCTGAATCCAGAATCCACTGTGATGCTGGCATTTCATATGAGTGCCTGTTGAAATAGCGGCTGCTTGACTTCCAATCCAGCTCCCTGATAATGCACCTGGGAAAGCAAAGATGACCTGAGTGCTTGGGCCTCTGCCAACCCAGGTGGGAGACCCAGATGGAGTTCCAGCCTCAAGGCTTTGGCTTGGCTCAGTCCCATTGTGGCCATTTAGGGAGTGGACCAGTAGGCACAAAATCTCTTTCCCTCTGTCTCTTCCTCTCTCTAACTCTACCTTTCAAGTAAACCAATAAATAAATCTTCAAAAAATTAAAAATCTAAAATACTATAATGATGAAAGGTAAAGTTTTATATATGTTCACTCATATAGTTTATAGTTATAAAAACTTGATAGATAACATTGTTTCAGAAGAAAACAATTTAAGAATTATTTTAAAGTAATTAAAGGATAAAATATTAAAGTAAATTGCAAAGAAATAAATTTAGTTTAAAAGAATGTCCAAAAGATAATAGCTAGTCAACTTCAAAAGGTGACATTCCTCATAGAGAGAAACATGTTGCAGAAAACATCACCATATTTTCCTTATAAGATTGACAGTTCATTGTGGCTCTGCAGTTGAAAACATGTCCTGAATTATAAGAGTCACCCCTTATTAAGCTCACCCCTTATTACAAACTGGTTTTTCTGATGTTTCCAATTACATGGAGCATCATGAATATAAGAGGATACAAAGTTAATGGAAAATATGAAAGTGAAATATAAGTTTATTTTGCTACAGAAAAAATGTTGGCATCAATGAATAGTTTTTTCACAACATGACTTGAATGAATTTTCTGATGTTCTAACCTATGTCTTTGAGAGGGTCTCCCCAGTTTTCAAGAGTGGAGGGCCTGCTGCCTGCCTGCAGGCCTTGACTTGCCTCCAAATCCTCTACTTTGAACATATGCCTGTGGTACTGAATAGGGTTTTCAAGAGCTGTAGATTTCAGATGGGCTGTTTTCAAGATTTGTGTATTTGGAAGCAGAATCAGACAAACCTCTCGGTTGTCACTGCAAAAATTTTGTTTTCTTTGAGAATCTGAACTAAAACAATGACTAAATATTTAAATGCCTGTCAAAAATTTTCTCCTATGACAAATATGATGTTACATAAATGTATATAAAATAAATATTATTGGTTTTCTTGGGGTAACACCAGTATGTTTTCAATATTGGACATATTGACATATTGATCCTAAAAATTTTGAAAAATGAGATAAGCTGCAAACAAGATGAAAAGGTGAAATTTCAAAGCTTACAAGTATAGCTTCAAGTCAGTAATTATCTTGGACTCCCTGGACATTTATAACTGACTGTCTTCCTTTGGGAATTCCATTTTCCCCATACACTTTATGAATATTAGCTCTCCAATACTGTACTAGGGTCAACCTGTAAAACCAGTGAAAGGGTAGGCATTTTGTATTGAGCCAACTCACTAACAGGTGAAATAATCAGATGACAAGAATATTCAAGTAGTGAAAATGAAAGGAACTCTGAAGTGAATAATCAACAAGATAACTGCTATCATTCTTGACATTTCCAATTTTTAGACTCAAGGGGGCACCAATTAATACCAGAAAATAAAATTTAAAGACCCACTTAAAGGATATTATATGGTAATGAAAAGACTTGTTATGGAGCCCAGATTACCAGTAGCCTCATGACCCAAAACAAGATGACAGCCATTATCCTGATATTATACCTCATGCAATTAACGGAAGTACCAATTAGTCCCTAGAAATGGCAAATCAGGTGTACTTTCAGCTTTTAAATAGCTGAATGAATTGGAAAAGACAGAGAAAGAAGTGAGACATTGCAGCATAAAGCAGACTTAGACATAAAACAGATTCTTATTACAATTTTGTAAAATGAGAACCAGTTTTGAAAAGGACGATTTTAACAAGTTAACAAAAAAAGTTCCTGGTAACCTATTCTATGATCCTGCATCTCAATGGCTTCCTTTTCCATGTAAATTTTGACCTCATTTTATAAAAAGAAATTTAATTTCTGTTATGTGAGTCTGGTTTCAGCTCACTAGTTATACTATGACATTTCTGTGGTGGAGATACTGTCAGGATCTCCCGCTTCGGGAACTGGCTGGGTTACTGCGAAGGAAGAGTCGAGGAGACTGAGGAAGGTCAAGCTAAACACACTTTATTGATACTCTAGGCGACTAGGAGGAGAGATCGCTCAAGCCCACTCCTGCGGGCACTAGGCGCTAGGGACCAGGAACTTCTACCCACAGGCACTAGGCACTATGGACCAGGGAGAGAGAGGCTGAGCAACCTCTGGTTTACAGCATCTGAGGGTCCTCTTATATACAGTTTCTAGAGGCTAGCCCTGCCCACATTCTGACCTCCCAGGGTCCTGTAGTCATGGCAACGACAGTTTGTGGTTAGGCCGTCTAGTTAGGCCATCCGTTTTCAAATCTTACCAGCTAGGGTGGTTACCTTTCTACTTTTCTTTCAAGCTGCTCTACTGTGCAGTTACTTTCTTTCAAAGGGTGCTACAGTTACTTTGTTTCAAATGGCACTACGATGACTTTCTCCATGAATGGTTCCCTAACAGATACCATATTCTGAATCTAAAACAATGACAAAACTTAGTGAGATGCTATCACACCATATTATAATGCTACTGGGTTATTAATTGGTGAGGATATATTAATCAAGATAAGTCAGCTGCTAAAAAATATCACAAATTTTAGCAGCTTATTACATAGAATTTTTTCTTCACTTCCACCATCATCTATGGTAGGGGAATTTCACGTGATATATATTTTAAACATGGAATTTCAAAGATTTGCTGGTTCATTCATAAATAATGCAGAGGAATCAAGGACAGCCCCAATTTTTGGACATGGCCAACTTGGAGGATGATGCTATTAATTACTGAAGTGATAATTTGCAGGCAGGGGGCAAGGATCCAGATTGGAGTCTCTTGTTGTCAGGATGGGAGTGTCACAGAACTAACAATTTCACCAATGAGCCACCAAGCACAGACTCATCATAGTGTACTCAATGATAGAATTCCTTTTGTTGTTTACATATTTTGTTTCTCTGTGCTGCATTCCCCCTTTTATTTTTCCAGATCTACCTTCTGCGTTATTACTTTTGTAGTAGGTTTTTTAGAATGTGCTGCTGCCTAATGTTGTACTATATTTATAACTTTATTCACAATAGTTTTATATTTTAAAGTAATATATATGTGTCTTTCAAGTCTGTACGAACATTTTTATGATTTCTTATTCTACTATTCTACTTTAGTTTTCCATATTTATCTCTTTAAACAATTTAATATTAGTTTTAGGAATTCTGAGTCTGATAATTTTAATGACTGACATCTTTGTTGATCTCATTGGGATTCTTTCAATTAAGGTGTTTTGTTTCTTTATTGCATACACAATTCCTATCCTATGAACTGATGATTTTGACATCTTGGTTAAGGATGTGAATTTCTTCAGAGGAGACTATGTTTTCTTCTGCCATGTGCCTCGGGTCACGATCAGCTTAGTACTTCTCTAAAATAAATTTTCTTTTTAAATTATTTCAGTTTAGGCCGGCGCCATGGCTCACTTGGCTAATCCTCCGCCTGCGGTGCCGGCACCCTGGGTTTTAGTCCCGGTTGGGGTGCCAGTACTAGTCCCGGTTGCTCCTCTTCCAGTCCAGCTCTCTGCTATGGCCCAGGAGGGCAGTGGAGGATGACCCAAGTGCTTGGGCCTTACACCCGCATTGGAGACCAGGAGGAAGCACCTGGCTCCTGCCTTCGGATCGGCGCAGCGCGTAGCGGCTATTAGGGGAGTGAACCAAGTAAAGGAAGACCTTTCATTTGTCTCTCTCTCTCACTCACTAACTATAACTTTACCTGTCAAATAAAAAAAAAATTATTTTAGTTTAAGTAACAAACATAAATTCAGATAGTGAACACTGATAAAGACTAAATAGACTTTTTGAGACCTACTTTCGTTCTTCTTACTCTTCATCCTTCTTGTTTTTCTTTTTTTACCTCAAGATATGGAAAGAGCGGTGGAGATCCCCAGTAGGAATTCGTGTCTGCATGTCGAATTAGTTACCCCATATTGGTTACACTCTGGGTTTTCTCTTGTTTATGCTCCATGGGACTTTGAAAACCAAATTCAGAGTTACTGAGTGTTGAAAACTGACCTGAACTCAAAAGCTAGCTTTGGTAGCACTGCTCTCTATCTCTGTCTGGTCTCATTTTGAATTTGGCAATGAAGATGCAGACTCTAGCAACTAATGTCTGGATGTTTTCTTTAGCAAGCTCATCTGGAATGGATGGAGAAGGCAGTTCACCGTGCTTCCAAAAGGAAAATGGGAATGGCAAGAAATTCATGATGAATGTAATTAAAAAAAAAAAAAAAAACTAGGAGGTTTAAAATATAGAAACCCACTTTATTTGGAATTTTAGAAGATTTTAAAAGTGGAAAATTTTGTATTACTTGGGGAAAGATTAACAAACTAAATCCATATAGTTTGTGCTGGAAAAAGCAGTGGTTTTGTGCAACTAAAAAGAAAATGTCAATTGAGATCCAGGGATGATTGCTAATATAAAATCAGCAGAGTTGCTATTGCTTTTCTGTTGTCATTGCTGCTGCTGCTGTTATTGTTATTTAACTACAGAAAAATGCAGGACCAGGCGCGAAACTTGAAACATTATCAATTAAATTTTCTCATTAGCTATATTTGGTTCCTTAATTGGCCTTTTTGACTGTGTAATTTCAAGTGATAATTATTTGTGGCACTAGCCCATTCCTATATCAGTGTTATCTCTTAATTAATTCAAGAAATTGACTTAACATTTTTTTCCATCTTCAGACAGAGAAGCAATTTGTGAGTTACCATTCTTAGACAGCACAGTCAGCAGCACTTTGAAAAATGACAGCAAGAAAGTCCAATCTCACTGACTTAAGCCACAATAGCATTGATGATAATCTTGGAGAGCCTTGCTAAGGAAGAATTGTACACATTTGCTGTGAAACAGAACAACATGGAATTATAGACTAGAGGATGAGAGAAACATGACAAAAATAGAGAAGATATTAATTCATTTTCAGGAGAAGCTTCGCCCATCTCAAGCAATACAGAATTGTACTTGGCTAAAGCATTGTGTTTTCGCTGAATATTTTGGTTTCAGCAGAAAGCTAGCAGTGATTGCTTTGCAACCTGGTGTTTTCCACCGAGTGGCTGTAAGCAGCATAAGGAGGAAGCAATGTTTCAGTGCCAATAATTTTCCTAACTTGAAGACGAATTTCTCCTCCTCAAAGAAAAAGGGAAACTATTAAGGAGAAAAAAAATATGGTCATCCAGGAAAGAACTCAGAAGTTGCAATTCAGTCGCCATAACTTTCAGCTTTATCTCAGAAGCTACTTCCTTTACTAAAAGGACCACAAGGACCCCCTCCCCCAATCTTTCCCAATTCATGACTCAGAGTTCTGTTCTTTTTTTTTTTTCTTTATATAAAGGGAACAAATGTCATGTATTTCATATATACACTTTCAAGGGCATAATGCTACTTCCCACCACCCCCATCATCCTTCCCACCCTCCCACATCCTCCTATTTTTCTTTTAATTTTTACAATGACATATTTTCAATTTACTTTATAATCACAAGCTTAACCCTCCATTAAATAAAGAATCCATCAAACAGTAAGTAGAGCAAACTTTGCTCCTCAAATTTATAGACAAGGGTTATAAACAATAATCAAATCTCAATCTTCCTCAACAAAATGAATGCAACTGGAGACCATTCTGTTTAGTGAAATAAGCCAGTCCTCAGAAGATAAATATATGTTTTTCTCTATTTGTGTTAACTAATATACAGAACACAAAAAGATGTAATATATATGAGCAAAATTGACACTTTTCTTTTTTTAAAAAAATATTTATTTTTATTTATTTGAAAGCAGAGATGCAGAGAGAGAAAGAGAGAAAGATCTCCCATCTGCTGGGTTACTCCCCAAATGGATGGAATGATTAAAGCTGGACCAGACCAAAGCCAGGAGCCAGGTGTTCCATACAGGTCTCCCATGTGGGTGGCAGAGGCCCAGCATCTTTTGCTGCTTTTCTAGGCTCACTAGCAGGGGCCGGATGGGAAATGGAGCAGCCAGGACTCGAACTGGCACCCATATGAGATGGTGACACTGCAGATGGCAGCTTAACCTTCTAGGCCACAGGCGCTGGTACCAACACTTCTCTTGTATCCACTCTTTGAGTTCCTTTATGGGCCACCCAGTACCATTAGGGACACAACTGTTTATGCAGATGCTAAATTTGCTGTAGTGAAGGATGTACCTATGAATTTCTCAAAGAAGTATTGTGGGGAGTTGTGCTTCAGACCTACTTATTCTGGTCAAAGAAGTCCTGGTTGCTGCAGACTATCCAGAAAAAGATGTCCTCTGGGCATACGGGGAATCAAGAATACCCCCTATCCCCTCTGCTGTCTGCTCAACCTAGATCATGGAATAATAAATAAGAAAAAGTTCATACATAATACTAATGAAATCAGAAAAGACCCCCTAAAATTTACCCTGAAATGTGGCCCCTTAAAGTTCCATAGAAATGCTAAACGGGTTGCCACATGCGCTACCGGAATTTGGGGTGCCTTAAGATTTCACCATGGACTTATTACTAAATCCCCAATATTAATAAGCCCGAGAGGGTTCTTGCCTAATATTTAGAGAAGAATTCTAAATACCGGCACAGATAAACAAGGCAGCATGGTACATTTTAAGCTTTTATTTAGTAAGAAAGATGCATAAGAGAGTGAGAGCTTTATTTAGGGGAGAGAAGTGAATAGGGGTTCATACCAAGCACCAGGAACCAGCCATGTGGAAGAGCATCTAGGCCAGGAAGCCTAGAGCACATGGCCCGAAGGCAGGGGCTACAGCAAGACCTGTCCTGGCAAGAGGCCAGGGAAGAAGAACTGGGCCTGGGCACACTGTGCCCTAGGCTTTTAACCCACTCCAAAAGGGAGTGGTTAATTAACCTGATTGGCTGGTGGGCACCCAGGTGTGGCCAGGTAGGGGAATGAGGCCACACAGGGACGTGGTCTTCCAGTTCACAAATCTGACCTATTTTAACCTGTATGCCTGCCTACTTCACTAACATCATGCATAAGATATATTTTAGACACATTTCATAAAATCATGAGTAGAATAAAAATTAAGACTGAATGGGAATAAAGTTTCAGTATAGTAAGGAAAAATTATGTGTACTTACTGGAAAACAAAGACTGAACTTAACCATTATTAACACAAGAAGCAATTTGATATGAAGAACAATACAACACAATCAATGGAAATATTATTAATTAAAATATAGAGCTTAGAAAGTAGATGTTGGCAAAATAAGAATAGAGTAAATTCATTTTAGCCACTCAGTTTTAATTCCCATAAATACATTTTCACACAAAACTTGAAGGACCAATATGAAGACTATTTGCCTACATGAAAATGTTGTTTTTTGGTTCTAAGATTGAATATTGTCATTATATAAATTAGATTTCCCACATATAAATTTATAAATTGTACTCAATTTTAATCCAAGAAATTTTCTTGTTCTTGAACCTGAATACAATTCTAATGTTTAGCCTGAATTACACAGTTTATAACAGCCAAACAAATTTTGAAAAAATACTAGTAAATGTTTTAAAATTCTATATAAAATGTATCTTTTCAAAGATTTAGCTCAGTAGAACAAAATGACGCAAGAATAGATAAACTAATACAGAGAAAATAAATAAAAACCATTACATACATATGTACTTTACACACTTATAGGAATACTAATCAGACTGGTCTAATGTTTGCCTCAGCTTGACCGGAGACAGGCATTTTTCCGACTCTAGGCCCTTGACCTCCCTTTTCTTAGAGTGATTTGTAAATTCTTTCTCTGCCCTTTTGAGATGTAAATCTTTTTAAAAACCTCCTGTAGGATTTACACCCAGAACTCTCCCAAGGACCCAGCTTTGAAATATAATCCCAACAATAAAATGTCCTTAACCTCCAGTCTCTGTGGAGGGTGAGAGTTGAACTTCCCTGGGTACCTTGTTCAAATTGTAAAACTACCTGCTATTAGGTAGATAAGGGAAAGTGTGCTTTTCCTTTGTGTAAAGCCAATTAGCATGCACACACAGACACACATACACACACATGGCCTAAGGCATAGCAAAGGAGCATGAAGGGCCTAACCTGACCTTTGTTTCAGCATAGTTGAGATCAGACTGAATCCTCTCCTTTGTTTCTCTTCCTTACTATAGCAGCTGTGAATGAAATCTTTCCTGCCTTTTTAACTATATGGTCCAATTTGCTTTGATAATATCATATTACTTTCTACAAAACACCCGCACATTTTTACATAAATTATTAAACTCACTTCATTTGATCTTACCTTGATTTTTCAAATTAGAAAATAGTTATTGCTAGTTAACATTATTTCTTCTTCGTTTCTGTATCATTAATCTTCCTCTTGCATCCTGTAAAGGTTCTCTAAACCCTGCTGGGGTTGATAATTGCAAAGGCTAAGTAAAATCTTATTTGCAAAATTTTGCAAGTGAAAAACTAGTGCCAAGCTATCTCTTTTTTTTTTTTTTAAAGAGTTTCTCATCCTCTTCCTTGTTTTTCTTTAATAAAGTCTACACTATGTTAGGACTTTCAGAGGTTTAATTTTGCTCTCTGACTTGGATGTGATGTAAAGTGGTATGAAATTAGTTGGCCAACATCTTGAAAGATTAGTCTGACCACGTTATGCACATAATTAGAACTAATTGAATTAGTCCCACTCCTAGCAAAGAAGTAAAATCAATATTATAATTAAAACTGCATTTCTGTATAATTGGATTTTCAAATGAAACCTGGAAAAGGGGGAGGAATGGAGAGTGTTGCTTATGTGTAGAAATAATTAATATTTGTACTAAGTTTATATCTTTAAAATAATCCTGTAGGGATTTGTGACAATATCCTGAATTTCATTAGCCTGAGTTGATTGCAGGGGCTCCTCACTCTAATCCTTAAAGAAGCCATTCTTACAGACAGAGCTGCCTGGCCAACTGACTCCCTTCTTACCATCTCGAACAGTTAACCCAAATTCAGCATTATGGTTTTCAGTAACTACTTTATTGCATGTGCTTGTTGAAAAGCTTTTCTCAGATTTTTTTTTCTAGATCAAAAGTCCTGAACAGGACTGGGCAGCTTACCAGTGGATCTACTAGTTCTTTCGCTGGAACTCACTGACTTTCCCTCAAGTAGTTTTTGTTACAATTTCATATGTAGATGAAATTCCTTTTTATTTTGTGTGATGTTAGAAAACACTCACAATGTATTTAAGAGTAGTGACTTGATTGGGCCCACATTGCGCCACTTCCCATGGACCCTCTCACTGAACTTAGTGATTTACAAAGTTGGATAAATTAACACTTATAGATGTGCTTTCCTATGTAAGGAAGACTGAGCCCTAGGCTGGGAGGTGAGAGAAAACAGAGATAAATTAGACTCAGTTTCAAAAAGTTCTCTTTACTTAGAATAGCATGTGTTATACACACACAAACACACACACACAATAAAGAACAAGACAACACAGTGTAGGTCCTGTGCCAAATGAGTGGCTTAGATCTATGTGATAAAGAGGAGACAGAAGACCCCGTTCAAGTCACACACACACACACACACACACAGAATTTGATAATTTTGTTTCCTTGGTATGTAAATCACTTAATCTGTTTAGGCATTATGTTTCTCAATTCTAATATGAAAATGTTGAATTAGATTAGGAAGTTCCTTCCTATTCTGAAATTCAGTGAGATTTAGAACAGTGAGATTATACTTCGGAAAGGCAGTGCTCACAGATGGCTACATGAAGGGATAGGAAACCTGAACTACATGCTGAAAGTGTAAGAGGGTGTTACTAGGGGCTGGCGCTGTGGCACAGTGGGTTAATGCCCTGGCCTAAAGCACTGGCATCCCATATGGGTGCCGGTTCTAGTCCTGGCTGCTCCTCTTCTGATCCAGCTCTCTGCTATGGCCTGGGAAAACAGTAGAAGATGGCCCAAGTCCTTGGGCCCCTGCACCCGCATTGGAGACCCAGCTCCTGGCTCCTGGCTTCGGATTGGCCCAGCTCCAGCCATTGCGTCCAACTGGGGAGTGAACCAAAGGATGGAAGACCTCTCTCTCTCTCTCTGCCTCTCCTCTCTCTGTATAACTCTGACTTTCAAATAAATAAATAAATAAATATTTTTTTAAAAAGAGGGTGTTATTAAAAAAGGGTTAAAAATCATGGGCAAAGATAGAGTCACGGTGTCTGTTTGGTTCACTTCTGTGTCCTCAAGGCTGGCCACAGTACCCAACACACACCAATCAGTGCATAATAGCTCCTTAGTTTCTGAATAAATGAAAGCACTGGGAGATGCTTCACTACTCTCAGATGGCAGGACATCTGGAAAACCACATTCTGTAGAAATTTAAATACTCTGAATACTAGAAATCGAATGAACAAATTTGTAAAAAGATTTCTTTCTTCAGTGCCTTCTAATGAGTAAAAGTGAGCATCTTACATCTGTATCCCAAATTGTTCCAATTGTCATGTCAAAAGCTAATTTTGAAATGACCAGGGTTATACTATTAATCAAATGGCAAAATTCTGGACCAAATTATTAAATTCCTTTGTTGATGTCAGTTGCTAACAGAGGTTACTTCTCTCAACTTGTTTTAAACTTAACTGCAACATGTACTTGAGTCCCCCCCCCACCAATGTTATTCTGCAATATTCTTTACTTGAATTTTGCATTTCCACTGCAATGGTTCAACTACTCAGTCTTAAGACCAAATTCTTACTTAAATTATTATGAACATGTTCTGAAATGTACCTAATGCCCAGGAAACACTCAAAACCCCAGCCCCTTATCCTTATATTCTTGTTTATGCTTTATTTGCTCTTCTGACCATGTCTTCAGTGTGCTCTTTACCAATTGTTCCCAGGATGTGTTTTGAATACTGGAAGAAGAGATAGATTGTTTTGATTTCTCCTGAGCTTGTTGAAGTTCTGTTGCCAAAAATAATAGCATGCTGAATGGAATCTTCGCATGCATAATACACTTCTTGGTAATAGATAAATTGTTTCTCTATCATTTTCTCTTTGAATTTTATGTTGGATCAGTTTTTAACTTGGAGACCATTCTCTTTTGAGTAATTCTTTTTCAATGTGTCACACCTTGAGATTTATTGCACTAATACATCATCAGAGTGGCAGCTGGCCCTGATGATGTATAGCTTAATACATCATCAAAGCAATTTCTCATTCAGGTTACATATTACATAGGAGTGTTAGTGCTTGTATTTTTAAAAATATAATTTTTATATTGCAATAAATAAAGTAAGCTTTAAGAAAATTTCCACAACTATTAGATTTGTCCCAAATCTAGATGGCAAATAAAATTAGCATTGGGTTCCAATAATAACAGCACCAATTTTTCTCTGCATAGCTACAATATCTTACTTATAAGCCTTGTTGTTTAAATAGGAAATACATATCTGGTTAAAAAAATTAAAAAGTGTAATAATACATACAGCAAAGACTACATCTTTCTGTCCAAATATGACAGCTACCCAAGAACCCTCTGCAGAGGAAAAAAATATACCAAGACTTCGATAGATATGTAAGAATGTATGTCTATCTATGCATGTATCATTGTGTTTTTCCTTTAAGTACAACCTCAGAGGGGCAAACATACCATTCTGCATCTTCCCCCACCCCAGTTAAAAGTATAAATATGATCTTGCTTCATGTGGAAACATAGGATTGTCTGGTTCTTTTTAGTGATAACATATTTTCATATTTCATATTTATTAAATGTCTGTTTTTTCTAGTATCTTGCTGCTGTGTGAAGTGCTACAATAAACATTCTGTCCAACACCTTGTATTTTACAAAATTTGTGTTATACAGAGTTTCTAGTTTTCTGGGTAAGTGTTTTATACATACTACTTTTTATAATTGTTGCTGAAATTAACCTGATAATACTTTAAAGAATTTAAACTACATGAACAAGATACAAAAGTTCATAAGCAATGCATAATTGTCTTCATAACAATGTCATGAAAAGTTGTGTTCACAAAACCAAAATTTTAGCATGAACTTGTGCAGATATTTTTCATATTTTTTAAAGATGTATTTATTTATTTGAAAGGCAGAGTTACAGAGAGGCAGAGACAGAGAGAGAGACAGAGTGAGAGAGAGGTCTTCCATCCGCTGTTCATTCCCCAAATGTCAGCAACGCCTAGAGCTGTGCCGATCCAAAGCCACGAGCCAGGAGCTTCTTCTGAGTCTCCCACACAGGTGCAGGGGTCCTTGGACTTGGGCCATCTTCTACTGTTTTCTCAGGCCGAAAGAGAGAGCTGGATTGGAAGTGGAGCAGCCTTTACTGGAACAGGCACCCATATGGGATGCCGGCCCTGCAGGTGGCAGCTCTACCCACTATGCCACAGCACCAGCCCCTTTTTCATCTCTTTAAAACATTTTTTCCTCTAGATATTTCCATCACATTTTCCCTAGTACCAGTACCCATATACTTTTAGTTACTATAACTTTCAAAATGTTTTCGGAGCTGGTAAACTATTCCTCACTTATTTTCAGATTTGTTCTAGTGAGATTTCTTGCAATACTTTTTCCATATGTGCATTAAAACTTGTTTGTTTAGCAATAATAAAAGCATATTTATTTGCTGCAGCCAGTGAAATTTAAAAACCAACTTTGGAAAAATTGGCTTATCTATGATAATAGTTTTTTTCTATCTAAAAGTATTTAATAAGTAAAATAATTATTAAATAAGTTTTTAGGGTTCTCTTTTCTAAAGGTAGATCATACATATTTTTAAAGGTTATTATCAATTAAATTTATCAAAGTTATCATTTTCAAGATTTTTTCCCTTTCAATATGTTTTAGCAGGTATTGCTATTATATAAAGAGACTACTTACTTCATTATATTAATTTTGTATTCAGTTATTTTACTGAATGATCTTATGTTCATAACCATGTTTATAGGATTCTGTGAGTTTTCTTAAAGTCATAACATCATATGCAAATAACACTTCTCCTACTTCCATTTTTTGTTCTATTTATTTGTTGTTCCTAAATTTCTTAAACTGTGTTTGATAATTACAAGTAAAGAAAGGCATTCTCCTGCTGTAATATTTCTGATTTCCCCCATTGAATATGATGCTGACTTTTGATTGGGAGCATCTCCTGCTACTCTCCTATTGTTATCTCTGTATACTAAATGATATTAATTTTTGACAAAATAACCATTTTTTCCTTATCTTCTGGAGAAATTCCAAACTAGAATGTGAACAAAATAAAATGGCTAGAAGGGAAATGGAAATTACTTTTAGGTTTTCATCATTATATGATATGGAGGTATCACATACTGTTATGACAGCATAGTATTCTTCAGATATCCTTTTATAAACTTAATTAAGGATGACTCATTTTTTCTTAAAAAGGATGTTAATATTTTTACTTGAAATCTTTAATCATGTGAATCTTACCAAATATGAAAAAATATCTGAATTTTACTTTAGAGGTAGACTACAATTGAATGGAAGGGAAAAAGAAGAATGGAGAGGAGTTGGGGAGTATATTACATGGGCAGGCATTTGCCCTAGTAGTAGAAGTGCCTCTTGGGTTGACTGTATTGGAATGTAGGGATTCCAGTCCTGCTCTGCCCTCAATCACAGCTTTCTGCTGATGCAGACCCAAGGAAGCAGCAGATGGATGACCCAGGTGCTTGAGCTTCTGCCATGTACATGGGAGATCAGGACTGATTTCCTGGCCAAGACTTGGCTATTGAAAGCATTCGGAGAGGAGTTGGCAGATGAGTGTTCTGCCTGTCTGTGTCTCTATTTCTCTCTCTGCCTCTCAAATAAATAAAAGGGAATATAATACAAAAGAATGGGGGCTAAAATCACAATGTCATCACAATAAATGCAGAAAATAACTTGTTGAAATTCAAAACATTTTCATGATAAAAATTCTCACTGAATTGGATATCGAAGGAGCTGATTTCTGCACAGTGAAGACCATGTAGGGTTAACTCCCAACTAACATTGCATCCAGTGGTAGAAATCTGAGTTTTTCCTATTAGAGCAGGAACAAGGCAAGGATGTTTATTCTTGCTAAGTCTATTCAATATACTGAAATTCCTAGCCACAGAAGTTAGGGAAGTAAAAGCAATTGAAGGTTTTTAAATTTTAAAGGATGAAGTAAAAGTATCTCTTCTCAAAACTGCTTTTGGCTATTGATTTATGAGACTATGCATAAAACATTATCTTATATACAGAAATAGCTAAAGATTCCTCAAAAAACTGTTAGAACTAAAAATGAATTCAGTAAAATTTCAGGAAACAATATCAACACACAAATATCAGTCACATTTCTGTATTCTAACAACAAAGTATTACAATAAGTAATTCAGAAAATGATCCCATTTATAATGTAAAATATAACAAAACGCTTTGTATAAGCTTAACCACGGAGATAAAAGACTTACACTAAAAGCTGGAGAATACTCATAAAGACATTAAAGAAGGCACAAATAAGATGTAAAGACGTACTGTATTCATGGCTTTGAAGAATTAATATTGTTAAATATCTGCACTATACAACAACACAATATACAGATTTGATACAATTCCTAGCAAAATTCCAATGGCCATTTAAAAATAAAAAAAAAGATCCTAAATTTTCATTTTGAACCACAAAAGACCCTGAGTAAGCCAGAGAAATTTTCAAGCAAGAAGAACAAAGCTGGAGGTATCACAGTTCTTGATTTCAAAATGTATTACCAAATTATAGAGTAAGCAAAACAATATGGTACTGGTGTGAAGAGAAATATAGAGAACAATGGAACATCATAAAAAGCCTAAAAAAAATCTCAGGCATATACAGTAAATTATCTTCAACAAAGATATCAAAAATACATAATGGAAAAAGAAACATTTATCCAAAAATAATGTTGGAAAACTGGATATCTACATAAAAAAGACAGAAACTGAACTCTTACCTTTCACCATACACAAAAATCTACTCAAAAATTGGTTGAAGACATAAGTGTGAAACAAGTAATCAATAAGCTCTTAGAAAAAAATAGGAAAAATTCTTCTGGATGTAGGTGTTTGCAGTGATTTCTTGAACATGACTCAAAAAACAAAGGAAACAAAAGAAAAAACAGATTAGTGATAGTACAACAAGCAATATCTCCTGCACAGCTAAGGAGACAAGTAAATGAGAAAGTAATCTACTACATGGAATAAATATTTGAAAATATTGTGTATCAAAAAAGGTTAATATTAAAATGCAAATTGAATTCATTCAATTATATAGAGGAAAACAAATAACTTTATTGAAAAATGAAGTAACTGAATAGTTCTTTTTGATGTTTGCATAGATGATATGCAAATGGCCAACAAATAAAATGTTACTCAGCATCACTAATTATCAAGGACATGCAAATCAAAATCACAATGAAGTATTATTTTGCACCTGTTAAGATGGTTTTTACAATAAAAAAGTAACAAAATTTGGAGAAAAATGGAAAATATGGAGAAAAGTTAACTCTTGTGCACTGTTGGTGAAACACAAAATGATATAGTGCTGGAAGTTTAAGAAAGGAGAAAGAAATAAAGTGTATCATAATTTGAAAAGAGTAAGTCAAATAATTATCCATGCTTGCAGATGACACAGTGTTGTACAGGGAAAACCTAAACATTCGACCAAAAAGCTGTTAGAATTTATAAATCAATTCAGTAAAGCTGCAGGTTACAAAACAAACATACAAAAACATTAGCTTTTTTGTATGTTAATGATAAACTCACAGAAAGATAACTCAAGAAAGAAATTTCATTCACAATAGCCACAAAATTCAAATACTTAGGAATAAATTTGACCAAAGAAGTGTAAGATCTCTACAAGGAAAATTATCAAACATTAATGAAAGAAATCATCAATTACACACAAAGAATGGAAAGATATTCCTTGCTTGTGGATTGGAAGAATAAATATAATTAAAACGTCTATTCTACCTAAAGCAATTTACAGATTCAAGGCAATCCCTATCACAATACCAATGGAATTGTTTACATGGTAAATAAGAAAAAACAATCCTATGATTCATGTTTTATGGCATAAAATGACATGGTTGTTGCCAGCACTGTGGTGCAGTAGGTTAAAGCCACGGTATGTAGTGCAGACATCCAATATGGACACAAGCTTGAATCTTGGCTGTTCCACCTCCCATCCAGGTTCCTGCAATTGTGCCAGGGAAAGCAGTGAAGAATGGCCGAAGTCATCTGGCTACAAATTCCTTGGTTTCCTCTTTTAATATTTGTCATTTCCTTTAACACTTAACTGTAAACATAAATCCACAAACAGCAGCAGGGTTTTTTTTTTTTTTTTTAAGATTCATTTATTTGAAAGGCAGTCACACACACACACACACACACAGAAAGAGAGAGAGAGAGACAGAGAGAGAGAGAGAGAGAGAGAAGATATTCTATCCACTGGGTCATTCTACAAATGGCCACAACTGCAGGGGCTGGGCCAGGCTGAAGCCAGGAGCCAGGAGCATCTTTGGGTATCCCATGTGAGGGCAGGGGTTCAAGGACTTGGGCCATGTTCCACTGCTATCCCATACACATTATCAGGGAGCTGGATTGAAAGTGGAGCAGCCAAGACTCCGCTGGCTTCTCAGGTGGTAGCGTAACCCGTTATACTACAATAGAGGCCCCAGTATATGTTTTTTTTTTTTTAACTTTTATTTAATAAATATAAATTTCCAAAGTACAGGTTTTGGATTACAGTGGCTTTTTCCCCTCATAAACTCCCTCCCACCTGCAACCATCCCATCTCCTGCTCCCTCTCCCATCCCATTCACATCAAGATTAATTTTCAATTATCTTTATACACCGA